GATTTTACAGTTTTGGTAATCATGTACGTGGAACTGGCTTGTCCAACATGCGGCCCACCAAGCCGTTTTCTGAGGCCCGAGGTGCTGCTACAGGAAACTAAAGTAAACTGTTTACTTTTGTTCCCACCCCTTGTCCCTCAGCAGCTTCCTAATAGCTGCCGAAGGGCTGGGGAAGGAACAAGGTTCCCACATGCAGCCCACAGTGCCCCGTAGTGGGGCCTGAGTGCACACGTGCTCCCTGGTGCCCGGACGACTTACCAGGTATCCTTGAGAGGAGGCCGAGGCAGCGGTTCCGGGCCAGGGCTGGGGCTCAGCGGCGGGCCCGAGGCGGGAGTGGGGGGGCGGTACGGGCATCCGCGGCTGCCAGAGCAGCAAGGCGGGTGGAAGCGGAGCAGAGGGTGCCTTTCCTGCACATCCCGAGGAGGCTGCGGCTGGGAGGACGAGGAGGAGCCCAGACTGGGGTTCCCACATGTGGCAGCGACTCTTCCCCACCCTGCTCCAGTCCATGTCCGGCTGCAGCTGTGGCCGTGCCCAGCTGATCCACAAGTCTCTCTTGCAGCCTCCCAGATACACTGAGCAGCCCCTGCTCCCTCCCTACCCGTCTGCCCCCTGCAAGGCAGCAAGCGGCGGAGGCTGCAAACTGCCGCGCAGCTGTCTCCTGCCGAGACACATCCCTCCACCTTTGATTAGTTTCCACTCTGGCTGATATCTTTTCCACATCTGATCTGTCGACTTGCATTTTGCTTCTTTCATTATGCGAAAATGTTTATTTTAGTCAAGTGTTTGGTATTATTTCATTGTTGCTTTTATATCGTTTTAGTTTGGATTTTAAACCACATTTCCAGACCTATTTCACTGTCACTTCCTGCAACTTCATTGGTGTCAAAGGTCACATGACATCACTTCCTGATGCGATACCGCTTCCTGTGAGATCTTTGAATATGGCTCGCCAGCCCACTGGGTGATAAAAAGTTCATGATCTGGCCCCACATTCAAAAAGGTTGGACACCCTGACTTGGAGAGACTGATATTTGAGGGTTAGCTGCTGCTTTCAGTTTCATCAATTTTGAGGTTGGAACGTTGTAAGGTGTTGGTGTTGTTTCTCTGATGGTTTATATCTTCACTGACTGGCTTTCTTGCATGCACACCAACTACAGATGCTTCCTCAGCCTGACAAAGGGTTTTTAAACCCAAAAGCTTGCTAAGAAAAAAAAAAATCCAACTGTTTAGTTGGTCTAATAAAAGATATCAGATTTACCCAAAGAACCTTGTCTACACAGTTAGAGAGGGTTTCAGGTGTTCGCATGCATAGTAGCACGCAGCACGAAGGACTGCGACCTAAGCTTTGACTCCTAGACACTAATTAAATAAAACTAGTGAGAATATACAAGGTGAAGGGAACTCAATAGCCTAAAGCAGTGGTACTCGACCTTTTGGTGCTGCAGGTCCAATGAGTGGTGCGCAAAGTATATAAAAAACATTTTTTTTTAAAATTTAATTGGAATTTTTTTTATTTAATCAAATTTTAATTTATTTTTAAGATGCTTTTTTAAAAAAAAAAATCAAATTAAAACTATATATAGGTTATGTTAAAATCTCAAACATATCATCATGTAATAGGAATTATAACTTCTAATTGTATACTATTTGAGACAATATATTCATGTAACCTTTTTAGAAGTTTTATAAATAGGTCACAACAGGTCATGGACTATATTAGGGGCCCAATCTTATGAGGTTCCTAGAGGCTCTTCTATAGATCAGTAAAGATTAAAGAAAACCGCTCTATCCAATGCAACTCAGTGTTCATTCTAGAAAATCCCATTAAGCATCTCTGTGATGCTTAGTTTCAGTTCTCAAACTGTGGATGTGTGTCTCCAGAGATAACATCCTTGTTAACAGCAGTATATGGAGATGAGAGATAACAGTCCTGATTACCAGGGATCCTGGTTTTCTCCAATTAAAAATTGCAAATTCTCTGATTAAAACCCCAAAATCTGAGATTAAAATTAAAGGCCTGCCACAGCCCGCCCTGGTGCTGCTGGTGTCCCTCACTCCCACGCAACAGCCCCCCAGCCCCACATACACAGGCACAAACACGCAGACGCACACTGACATCCACCCCAGCAGGTAAGTGTGTGTGGGAGGAAGGGGTGGGGTGGGGCAGGGAACGTGCCCCTATGCCCACTCCCAGGAGCAGGGTCAGGGGGTGAGGGCAGGGGTGTCCCTCTGCGGGCCACACACACTGGCCAGCCTAATAGGGGATTTTGCACACAGTGGCCACCACCCTAACTCTGCTGCTGCACCCCATGCTGCCTTCCTGTAGCTGGCCGCACGGCTTCGCAAGCAAATGGCATGTGGCGCAGCGGTGGTCATGTGGTGGTGGCTTCCATGTGTGATCCGCACATTTGTGGCCTGGCCAGGTGGAGGAGTAGGAGGGCTGGGGGCCTCATATGTGGTGGCCGCCACCACCTCTGCTGCTTGCCTGTGGAGCCGTGCCCGTGTGGAAGTGGCTGCCATGTGCAAGCCCTCCTATCCGCAGGCACAGCTCTGCAGACGAGCGGCAGCAGCTGTGCAAGGTGGTGGTGGACACTATATGCGAAACCTGTGCCCCCGCTGGCCAGCACGCAGTCACCACCACCACCATCCCGTGCAGCTGCTGCTGCCGCTTGTCTAAGGAACCATGCTCGCAGATGGGAGGGGCTTGCACACAGCAGCCCTGGCTGCCACTACACTGCTGCCCCACGGCCGGCTGCACAGCTCTACAGGCATGGCTCCGCCGCAGCAGTGTAGAAAAGGTTTTGCATTCAGCAGCCACCACCATTGGCACGGCTCCGCAGGCAAGTGGCAGTGGCTGCCATGTGCAAGCCCTCCCCCCCCCCCCACAGTCACTATCCCTCACTGCCACTGCGGAGCTGTGCCTGTGGAGCTGTGCTCACGGAGCTGTGTGGCCAGCCGTGGGGCAGCAGTGGCAGTACAGTGGCGGCTGCTGCATGTGAGCCACACCCTCCCTGCTGCCAGCTAGCCAGCCCGCGTGCGGCTTGCACGCGGCAGCTACCACTGCTGTGCTCCAAGACACTTGTCTGCAAAGCTGTAGGGCAGCAGCCACTGTGTGCGAACCCCCCCCACACGCCAACCAGTGCATCTGCAGCCCACAGAGGGTCACCCCTGCCCTTATCCCCTGGCCCTGTTCCTGGGAGCAGGTTCAGGTGGGGGACAGGGAGGCGCTGCGGTGTGTTGTCTGGGGCCCGTGGCACCCGGTGCATCACCTGCTACCTCAGCACCCAGCCACCTTCCACCCCCAGCCCTGCCCCACAACCCCCAAGCCCCACTTACCTCCAGGGGCGAAGGACGAAGAGCAAGCCTGCACCTAAGCCCAGCCTTGACCGACTCAGAGGCTCAGGTCCTGCCCTTCCCCCCTCTCCTCCCCCTCCAGGCAGGGCTGGGAGTTTCCTGCCCTTTATGCAATCAGCTCTTGCAGGCTGGAACTGTGCCTGCCTTCAGGGCTCTTTGCAGAAGTGGAAAAACCACGGATTTCTCTGCTAAAAACGGGAAATCTGCGTTTTCTCCTAAGAAAACAGGGAAACAGAAAACCTGGATCCCTGATGATTACCTACCCATCAGCCCTATTGTCTCTCTGCAAGTTTGTGTACAGAGCCAGGCCCTTACCTCTCTCTGAAAGTACAGTTTCAAGAAGTTAAATGAATAGAGCATTGTTAAGGGTGGAGTAGATCTGGGCAGAGGAGTCTAGAGAGGAATGTGAGGAGGAAGGGGCAGTAAGAAGAAAAGAGAAACATTTTGAGCAGAAAATTCCAGAAGTCTTGAGGGATAAGTTTCTGAGTATAGCCTCTCCACTTATTTGAGATCTAGTGAGGGGATGGTATGGTAGAAGGGAAAACCTATCTTGGCAGCAGGCTTGCCAAGCCATAAGAGAGAAGAAATCAAAGATGAGAAGAAATCTAGAAGAAAGTAAAGAAAGCCACAAAGCTAATAACATATGGCTGCAGTGCTCATTTGATGTCCTCTTAAGATAGTGTGGCAAAAATATCTCCTAAATAGCCATGATTAATCTAGTGACTTGGAGATCGTTCACCTCCCAATGACTTCATAAGTACCTGCTTCAACTAGATTTGGTAAATAAAATAACCAAATTATAGTTCTGATGTAGCTGCAAAAATAACCTGAAAAAAATATCAGAGTAAATCACTGCTTTAAAATATATAGGTGTGACCTTCTAAAAATGAAACTTACATCTCTCCCCAAAGTTGTGAAAATATGTATCAAGGTTATATCACACAAGAATGCATTTTTTGTAGAAAAAAAGATGATTAGTGAGGCTTCCTGACCAGTGATTGAAGATCAAATCCATCCTGGTGGTGCAGGCCAGACTGGCCCCACACCGCCTCCAGCCAGCCCCTGCATGCCCAAATCAGCCCTAGGCAACCTCCATGTGATGATCTAGCATGCTTCTGGCCTGCATTGTTCCCCGCAGGTTAAGAAATTCGCTGCCACAACTCCCCTGCTGCCAAATTTTGGGACCCATGCAGGCCAGGTGTCATGGCTCCATGGGCCATATCTGGCCTGCAGACCAGCAGTTGAGCATCCCTGGCCTAGAGCGATTAAACGACCGTTCAAATTACAAGTAAAATAGTTCTCCAATTAACTGCTAAAAGTTATAAACAGGCCAGACTCTGAAGTCCAAGACAGCTTGAGCCACACTGAAACTGCCAGGGAAACATGGGCACTAGGGATTTGGTTGGAGCAAGTGATGGGTCAAAATGTTTTAATTAATTCTGGGCACTCTTTGGAGGCTACTGCACACACTTGTAATGCTTCAGCAGCAATTCTAGAATTTGGGTGGATGTGTTTTTCCAGCACTGCATTCTGGAATCTGGGGAGATGATGATTATTAATGTTCTTACACAAATGAAACAAGTCATTAACAAGAGTTGCAGGGGCTGTTCTGCTGCTTATGTCTTTGCAGTGAAAGCTGTTCTTACCATCTTTGCCAGAGTCTTGGTTTTCAGCATCTTCGATCATCACTTCCTCTTCTACTGGGGTCACCTGAGTTCTGGCTTGCCTTTTTTCATTAATATGTGATGCTGTTTGTTTTCTTAGTTTCTCCCCCAGCTTTTCAGAATATTCCATATTTGACTGGAGCTCTGTAACTAGATTCACAGGGTAAGGGTAAAAGACCAGCCAACTCCCTCTAAGTTATCACTTCTCCCCCCCCCCAAACCTATTTAAAGCACCAGCATATAAATCTGATGTCTGATGAAGCTCTAACAATGTATAAATTGAGCAAAAGCCACAAGCTGCAAAGAAATCAAGCAGGTATAATCCATATAAAAGAACCAGTGGCTAAGGGATACCTAATTTTGTTTGTTCTACCTAGCTCAGGGGTAGAAAACCTTTTCCGGCTACTGGCCAGAATGACTAATCCCTGGGTCAGATGCAGGCAGCCAGGTGGGTACTGGGACCCTGCTGCCACTGCTGCTCGTCACCCTAGCACAGAGGTGGGCAAAATACAGCCCGCGGGCTGGAGGCCTTTCTATCAGGACTGCGAGGCCCCTAAAAAGTTTAGAAAATTAATATTTATCTGCCCTTGGTTCCTGTCAAAAATGACAGGAACCAAGGGCAATAGGACCCAGGGGAAGCCCAGCGGCCTCCCAACAGCAGGGCCCACCCGGCCCCAAGCCCCAGCAGGGGCTTCTGGCCTGGGAGCACAAGGCTGTCCTGCACTGGAACCTCAGGTATGGTGGGAGAAGGGCAGGGGGGGGACCCCAGGCAGGGAAGGAGTGCGGCAGGGGGGAAAGCGGCCCCCCCCACCTTGTGGCCAGCACCCCACACTAGCTGCTTGCAACCCACATGGGGCTGCCCATGCCTGCTCCAGACAGCCTCGCATAGGCTGCGAGTGGTTGCAGCAGGGAGCGTGGGCCATGGGGTGGGCAGGGGCCGCTTTTCCCCCACAGAGACATGGTCAGCAGGACATTCTGCCACTTACCAGGCACCTATGCTGATCACAACTTTGGCAAGGTGGCACAACAAGGGAGGGGATTTCTATCTTGGCTTATTTCATTTTTGGCTTTATAAGTCAAAACCTACACCTTAAACTTCACCCAGGCAGCCACTGCAGCTCCCAGAATACTGCATGGCCCACAACCATGATCCCCACAAGATTCTCTTTAACAGTTAATAGTAACATTTGACACCATCCTCAGTTTCTAGGCACGTACTTGATGGAGACACCCTAGACAAAATTGAAGCAAGATGAAAACAGTCATCTCCCCCTTAATCTACAGCAAAGCATATAGCTTTAGAATCACAGAATAATTACTCCCCAGCTAGCTTAAAGGGAATCCCCAGACAAAATCTTGGCCAGCTTGTTACCCGTAACAAAGCAACATGATACTTAATTTTGCTGCAATAAGGTCCCGATCCACGGGTGACCATGATGCCCCAGAGCTCCCTCAGCCCTTAGAAACTGTGCTATCTTTTGCGGTCACTGGGCAATTTCCCTTTCTCCTCACTTGCCACACCTTGATGTTGTTATGATTTTAGAAAATGGGAGGCTACCCCAGGGCTTCCCTTAAGATCTCACTCTCTACCATGAAGGTGTCACCGTTCATCGCCTTAAGGGCTAAATATGTGGGCTCTGTCCTCCCCAATATCCACGCCCCTGCCTCATAGATGATACACATACTTATCAATTATAACAGCCCCTATGGGCTACAGGCTCCTGGCTTTGTTTGCCTGTTACACCAACCCCTCTGGGCTATGGGCACTATGGTCCTCTCAATCTCTAGCTGTGACCCTCTTGGCCTTTGGTCCTTCCCCTTAGACCAGTGGTCACCAATCAGTGGATTTCGATCCACTGGTAGATTTTGGAGCCTCTTAGAGTCTATCTGAGGCTGGGGTGGGGGGCTGAGTGCCCGCATGCATGTACACATACACCCCAGCCCAGCAGGTCAATCCATGGGGGAGGGAAGGGGTGAGGGCTAGATTGAGGCCCCTGCAATAAGGGACAGTGTCACAGAGGCAGGAACAGGGGTAAGTTGAGTGGGGCCCTGGCCGGCTGGAACTTACCTGCTGTGAAGCTATGCTCCCAAATAGTTTCTCTCCCTCTGCTTCTATCTGTTCCCCCACTCCTTCCCTCCCCACAGACTTACCTACTGGGTGGGGGGTGGGGAGCAGCAGTGCACAGTAGATCATGGGTTGCTTTTAAATGCCAAAGGTGATCTCCTACTTAAAAAGGCTGGAGACCACCACCGTAGACCCTGGCCTTGTGCCTGGGCCAGTTGAAACTCATGGACTCTCCAGCCCTGCAAGTCCCTGGCTGTCCCTTCTTGGCCTTCAGCCCTTCCTGAGCCCTGGCCCCACTTCTAGGACAGTGAGACCTACAAACCCTAGCCCTACCTGCTCCCCAGGGCCTCTGGCCCTCCACTCTCTCTGGGTTCTTTGACCCCTCTCTCCCTGAGCCACTAGGGACCTCCTTATTTCCCCTTAGTTCCTTCCCCAAACCACCAGAGTTGCTTACCTCAGCCCAGATGTCACCCAGGAGCCCTGCTGCCCAGGAACTCCTCTCTCTATAGCTCTCAGGGCTAAATGGCCAGCCCACCTCCAGCTTAAAGATGTAAATAACATTAAAAAAAAATATCCATTTACCCTCCTTCAATTATATCGGTTAAACAGTTAGCCGATAGATCATACCTAGTTTAATCATCTCTGGCAGGAATGGCCCCAGCCCCAGCTGCTTATATCTTTACCTTGTGCCCAGCACTGCATGGGCCCCAGGCCACTGGTGGGAGCCATGGGCAGAAGGTGTCAGGTGTTGCTGAACCACTAGGGGGTGCTGCCCAACTGCAGAGCTGCAACTTTCCTTCGCCCCCATGGGCAGGGGCTGGGGCTATGAACCTCTTCTATGCCTAGAACCTGCAACAACGGGGGCGGGGGGGAAAGAGGAGAGGAGGTGCTGGGCACCCCACAGGGGTCATGCAGGGCCTTCCTGCTGCAGCAATGAGACTCCTGGCCATGCGATGGGCTCCTTGGCACCCTCCTCCTGCCCATGGCACTGGGGCCACGTGGAGCCTGGCCCAGCTCGGAGACGGGGCTGAGACTGTGACTGATTTGGCCCAATGCAGTGCTGTGGAAGCTGGAGCAGGCAGCTCTGGGTCTGAGGGGTTGCCACCAGCCCCTCACATGGTGTGTGGCCCCAAGGCA